ACAGTCTCATGACAACAATTGTTTATGACATATGAATAGCACCTAAATTCAACTGGATTCTAGCAATAACATACTACAGTAATATTTGTTTTGCTATTGAATCATGTCCGATTCTCAGAGACTACCAGGTCAAGTCCCTCCAGTTTTCTTGGCAAAGTGTCTCAGAAGTGGCTTGCCATTGCCTCCTTCTTAGGGCTGAGAGAAGGAGAACTGCCCTAATGTACCCAGTTGGCTTTGTGCCTAAGGCGGGACTAGAACTCACAATTGCCTGGTTTATAGCCAAGTGCATTAATCATATACCAAACTAGTAATAATAATATCTTATAATAATAACAACATAATGAAAATATGAGCAGTGTGATGGCCCAATGATCAAGATACTCGCCTCCCACTTGGAAATTTGAGAGTTCAGTCCTAGGTAGCAGCAGATGTTTCCCTCCTAAGGCACAAAGAAAAAAATATCTGCTGCGAACTCTTAACTAGGCATCAGGAAAGGCATCCAGCCAGTAAATGCTCAGCTCCATCCAGTCACCCTGACTCTACCCCAGATTAAGGGTATAAGGGTCATAAAAGGGAAAATTAATAATAAAATAAAAATGACTCTAGCATCAGTATCTTTCTGGATGGCCTTAAGAGTGGCCTCATACCTGCCTTGGAAGATAAGCAGATAAGGTGAGCCTCTACAGAGAAATCTACCTTTAAGTCCCTTCCTTTCTTAACTTCAGGTAGGCTGGAATACCCAAGTAGATATTCTCAGACTGCCTAGGGCAGGCAGGCAAATTTTATCAGGAAAAGCACTCTTTTAAGAACCCAACCCCAAGTCATTAAAGCTAGCATTTTAAATTGCACTCAGAAACATGCTGGTAACCAGGGCAGCAACAATATCCAGTGGCAGTATCAAGAGTAATCCACAAGCATTAAACATGTTGATGTTTTTGTGTGGTCTTCAAAAACAGTCCCATATAAAATAACTTTCAGTAATCTAAATGAGATTATTACATTTTATTACTGCATTTTATTACTGCATTTTACTCCATGCATTTTATGCCAGGTAAGTGCGCAAGTGGAACTCCAGCTGAAACTGAGAAAAGGTCATCTTATCCACATCCTCACATGCCCAGACCCCGGGACCTAATATCTGGCTCATCCATTTTGCTCAGGTGGAAGATGTGCAACTTTGTATCATGTTGTATCCAAACTAATAGATATTTCTCTCAGGGGATTTATGTAGATGTTGAACAGGAGAGGGGAGAAGACTGCTAGTCCTGAAGCACCCTGTAATGAAACATCTGAGAGCCAGAACTTTCCCCATTGATCACCACAATTCTGACATTCATATCCTGCCCAGATGAACCTTGTCAAATATTAAGGCTATTAAAAGATCTGGGAAAACAATGACAGTTGCATTTGCTCCGTCCAAACCCCACCTCAAGTTATCCCTGACAGCAACCAGTGTGTTTTTTGTTTCATGCTGAGCTTGAATGTGGACTGACGTTGCTTCAGATAATTTGTGTTCTCTTTAACTGCAGCCCCATCACTTTTTCCACAACCTTCCCAAAGAAGGAAAAAGAACTTTCCTTTTAAGGAGTGGATGGATCAGCATCTCTTTAAACAGTGCTGAATTTTCTTCTTCAGTGGCACACGCCTGGTCTGTCCCCTCATCCACAATTAAATCATATATGAGGCTAAATTTATTGTCGGCTGACATTTAGAACCATCAATATGAGCCCACAATGCCCAGATATGCATTTGTCTGGCTCATGTGGCATGGAAGTACAAATTTCCGATCCCTTTTCTTCTGGGGTGTCTCTTCCCGCACCCCCCAATCTCTTATACTTTACCCTGCTTGGTCCTACTGATTTTCTCCCCTATCTCTGTCTCCCTTAGTCAGAATATCTCAACCTTAGCAACTTTAAGATGCGTGGGCATGCTGGTTAGGGAATTCTGGGAGCTGAAGTCTACACATCTTAAAAATGCCAAGCTTGAGAAACACAGCCCTCAGCTCCTACTCCAAACACTCCAATTGTGCAAAATAACCATCATGGGCAATCAAGTACAACAGATGGAAGCTGCACCCAATGCAATCATGCATTCCCATGCTTTACATTCCCCAGACTCTCTTCAACCCAGTTCTCTTTCATTCCATCCTTACGTGGCTTTCCCCTAGCTGGGTCAGAAGGTGATAAACATATTACCCCTTTTTCTCATTCTGGAAAGGGGCTCTTCCCCCCCCCCCCCCCACTTCTTTGACTCCCATTTAGAAAACCAGCAATCTTTTCTTTTCTCTTTGGTGGTTCTGTTTGTTTTCCAATATCTCCTCCACTACTTGGTGTAAGGAAATAGAACTCTAGTGGCCCATTTCAGTTGACACAGTTTCCTAAACAACCTTGCTATCTTATTTCTCCAGTCTTCTGTTTTTAATATATTTTCCTCTACTATTTATTCCAGTTTTAATTCTACTTCTTTTGTTTTTCCTGAAAAACAATAGCTGGCAGATGTGGCTATAACAGTTTAATTATAGACTCGTAGTGCAATCTGGTATCAGATAAATAATAAGAGGTAAAGCAGGATGTGTGATTCCTCTTCTTCTGCAATCCCTATTTGTTAAGTCCTTCCATATAATATGAAAAACCCAGAGTGACAATCCCAAGATAACAGAATAACAGAGTTGGAAGGGACTTGGAGGTCTTCTAGTTCAACCCCCTGTTCAGACAGGAAACCCTATACCACTTCAGACAAATTTTTGTCCAGTCTCTTCTTAAAAACTTCTAGTGTTGGAGCATTCACAACTTCTGGAGGCAGGTTGTTCCACTGATTAATTGTTCTAACTGTCAGGAAATTTCTCCTTAGTTCTAGGTTGCTTCTCTCCTTGATAAGTTTCCATCCATTGCTTCTTGTCCTGCCCTCAGATGCTTTTGGAGAATAGCTTGACTCCCTCTTCTTTGTGGCAGCCCCTGAGATATTGGAAGACTGTTATCATGTCACCCGTAGTCCTGCTTTGCATTAAACTAGACATACCCAATTCCAGCAATCGTTCTTTATATTCCAGTCCCCTGATCATCCTTGTTGCTCTTCTTCTTTCCAGAGTCTCAACATCTTTTTTACACCGATGACCAAAACGCGATGCAGTATTCCTAGTGTGGTCTTACCAAGGCATTATACAAATGATACCATACAAATATTTTGGAATCAATTATTCCTGCCCCCTGTTCCTGTCATAATTGCCTAAATAGCTCCAAAAGCGAGTCCTGATTAAGGTTTCCAGAATACAATAAAATCAAAATTAATTCAGAGATTAACCCCATCCCCTTTTCTCTCCAGACTTTACCCTTAGCCCAGATGGTTCCTCTCTTTCTTTCCAGCTGTTTTGTAATTTTATGGGGGGGGAATGTTTGTGGCTTGATCTTCCTTTAAGTGTGCAGCCACATTTGCCCAAATGAGCCCTCCCTGAAACCTCAAAGAATACATGATGCTCTTTGTGTTTTTACATCTTACTATAGCTATTAAGCAACTACAGATAGAAAGTGTTGGAGTAGGTGCTTCAACTATGATTGCATTGAACGAAATCAGGGTTTTCACAAGCAGGATGTTTGTTGTAAAATCTGATCACATTCAACATGGACATGAATATTATCAAAGCATCACTTACCTTCTAAATGACAATCCATATATTTACCCATCTGAGTTCTAAAAGATCTGAGAGGACTGCAGCTTCCAGAAATCCCAATGATATGGTGTAGTTCCAAGAACTGAATTAAGTAAATCTAGTACAAATGCATTTTTAACTATCCCTGAAACTTTATTACGGAATAATCCATTTTTAAATCCCACTATCTTCATAATTAAAGGTTAGCCTTATTTTTTAATGATGAAGTAAAAATGAGTATGCAAATCATTTTGTATAGTTATAATGAGTAAAACTAATATCTCAAATCAAATCTATAAGATGATATTGATGAATGTATATTAAATAATGGTTTTGTCAAAGTTGCATAATGTTGAACGTTGTTATGCTTACCTATTTGTATTGTGAGTAGCATCGTTTATATACTTACAGCTGCTATCCTGCTGTAAATAATTGGAATTATTTTAAATGCTTATACTTACTTTTTGATAATATATTCCAATTTATCATTTTTAATATGCTCCTCCCAGCCTGAATCTACTTTGTTATGCTTGCTACGGTCATACTTTTTCTGTATTGTTCTTACACACATAATAAGTTGTCCTTACCCACTCTTGATCCTTGACATACTTGCTTCCTGCAGCATCATATCCTCTGCATTGGGGAATTTTTTGCACTAATTCTAAGGCACACTTAATCTGCATTCTGAATATTGCTGAATTTTACCAGTTATTAGTCCACCAGTGCATTATTCAAAATCCTCACATGAGTTCAATTTAGGAGGAAGAGACTAAGTTACATGCAATATATGTATATATTAATTAATAGAAACTTGGAAACTATAGCAGTTTTAGTGTAAAAACTAAAAAGTGTAGAAAGTGCTTGTGCTTATGCATGGGTAGTCATTTCTCCTTTCAGTTGAGAGAACAGCAACATAAGGACATAATACTCTACTGAAGTGAGTAAAAGAGCCTGAACAGACAGAAGCTCCCTGCATACCAAATCAGATACTATTCGTGCGTGCCAGATATTTGCCTAAAATGTTTCTAAACATGCAATGAGTGATTATTAATAGGTCGCTACTTGCTTTATCTATTTCCTTTGTATTTTTGGATTGGTCTGTTAACATGCAGTTGCTTTGAAAGCCTATCGTGCACTTATCCTAGAACAATTTATGAAATATTCTAGAACAACTCATGAAAAATGAATGGAAATCATTTTTCATTTTATTGATTGATACGATTTAGGCACTACCCTACTCCAAATACTCTGGGTTGCTTAAAAAGGAGGAATTGTTTTATTAATAAAAAGCAAATAAATTAATTTAATGTCATCTGGGCTTTTGCAATTTATATAATATTATATTTTCTTCCAGATTCCTCAGTTTCCTGTTATTTCTGCAGTTACCCCTCTGGCAGGACTTGACAGTCATCCTTCAAACCTGTCTGATATACCTGCTGCAAATATGCCCCCCATCCCTGCTCCTTCTCAGTATTTTCCTTCAGCTGTGATAGTACCAAGCCTTCCTGTGAACTCGGCTCTGCCACTGTCATCAAATTCCCCTGCCCTCCCCATGCAAGCAGTCAACCTTCCTCATACTACTGTGGCTTCCTTGGTCTTACCCTGCCAAACAATTGTGCCAAATATGCCGGCTGCTTCAGTACCATTACTTTCTATGCCTCCACCAGGAGTGTCAGTTTTACCAACACATCATGTGGTAGCCCAGCTCTCACAACAACAAATGTACCAGGCTACCCTTCAGCAGATAATACAGAACGAAGCTGTGTCTTCTCCCCTCCACACTCAGAATATGCAAGCTGTTTCACAACAGCAGCAGATGCTGCCTTCACTTCCACAGTCACTTCAGCCAAACATAATTCATCCTTCAGAACAGGCTATGTCTGCATCTGGGGCTGGTAATCAGGTAATCTATTTGACACTGGATTTTCATGGGTTTAGATCATAGGAGTAGTTCCCCAATTGTCAGCTCTGTAGATAGTTCAAATTTTAAAAGAAATTTGGAGATTAATGCCCATCAAGATAGGATAAGGAAACAGAATCCTTAAAAATGAATTGATTAGAATGGTGAAACACTAAACATGAAGGACAGCTTGAAAAGGCTATGTCAGAGGATAAAGAAATGCTTAAGTCACTTCTGTCCCAGGAAGTGACATTATTTCTTCTCAGGAGTGAAAAAAACTTTTAATGTCCAGTTACAGTTAGCGTTTTCCAATATATCACTGCACTCAGACTATAACATGATAATAATTTCTTAATGAAACTAAATCACTTATATAAGTAGGTTTACAGAATAGTGTAATTTCTTTGGAATAGCTGGTTTCTTTAAAAGTAGGTATTTATTTTACAAAGAAGAACTTTAAAATATTTAGTTCTTCATTCTCACAATTACAAATTTAAACAGTGGCTGAAGATACATATTTATCTGTATACCATATGTATATAGATGTATAGATGTGTGTGTGAGAGAGAGTGTACATTTATAAGAAGCTTCTTATAAATATTTATAAAAGATTATAAGGTAAGGTAATGCAACAAAAAACATGTATGGATTGAGAAGAAAATAGTTTATAAAAAGATTGAAGATTTCTTTAAAACAGGAGTGTTACAAGAAAGCATAGCATTTTATCATTTGTCATCTACCACCTCAAGGTCCAGAACATTCCATCTCAAGCTATTGTTCTGTACTTCCAACTTTACTGTATTACGCTTTTGTTTTCAGCCATATATTTGGTACATAAAAATTGTTTGTGAAGAATTTGTGTTCACCTGGTCCCACCCTGATGTCCAATGAATCAATGATACCTATTCTCACTGGCTCCAAAATTAATTGTCTCATCCAATGTTCTTCTTTAAGCATTTCAGATATATCTTTTACTGATGTACCTGTATCAGTTTTGATTCAGACTGTAAGGTTTGTTATCAAATGGGATCTGGAGGCATTATTGAAAAACTATACACATACAAGATGAAAAATAAGGAAATTCAGTCTGTCTCCATTTCACTTTTACTGATGGTTGCTATTATTGTAATTGTTCACTTCACATACAACAAAAATCATGGAAATTTGCTGGTATCATATAAAATGATTCATGACGTTAAATGTTTGTCCTATTTCCCTTACATGGTATAACAACTAATAAATTGAGATAGATGATAGATAGATAGATAGATAGATAGATAGATAGATAGATAGATAGATAGATAGATAGATAGATAGATAGATAGATAGATAGAAAATTTCTGTTGAGTGAGGCACCCGGTCTACCAAATATAAATCAATCTGTTCTGTGTTTCGGATAATACAACTGCCTATATATATAGTGTTTTTGATGCACCCTGTCAGCCCAAATATGGGAGGAAGAAATCTTTTGCCTGTATCAGCTCAATCTAGAGCCATCCATAGGCAGCAGTTGCTACTGCGACATCATTTGTGTTTGGGCCGACAGGGTGCATCAAAAAACACTCAAGATAAATCTCCTCCCCTGGTCTCTTCCCTCCCTGATACAGCTGACAAAGTGAGAAAGAGCCTGTGGCCTAGAGGTCAACACAGCTGCCTAACATGCAAGCAGCCCAGGTTCGAATCTCAGAAGGGTATGTCTGGCTGATGAGAGCTAATCAGCTCGAAATAGCTATCCCAGTCCCCCTTAATTCTTTGTTAGCAATCCAAAAATTTAGGAAACATATAAAATATCTCACTGCAACCAGAATTGGCTAACATATAATATATGCACAATAATAATTTATATAGTATTAAAAGAAATTTTCTTTTTCCTCTATGATTTCCTTTGATGCTATTGCCTTCTTTATTTGTTTCTATATCTCATCTTTTCTTCAGTTTCCTCTTCAGGTAAAGCTTGACTTACTAACTATAGATTTTTTTGAGCAAGAGTAAAAATCTCCACAATGCTAGAGATAAATGAAAAAAAATCTTATTTACCATTTTTATTAAAAAAGTAATCCTATCGGTGCTTTCGTATGTATAGTCTTTATGGCAAAAAATTATTGACATGTTCTAAACACATGCAAAAAAACTAATACAGATAAGCCTGAAAGATTAATTTAATTTGAAGTTTAATTGCATAGATAATACCATGACATAATCCATGATCATAAGTGTGAAATAGATGGCATTGGATTACTCTATTTAGTCTCAGGTAAACATTTGAAATACCCTCAAATAGCTATCTCTTCACATAAAAGCCCCAAATCCAAGGAACAGACTGCTTAAGGAGTTCCCAGTATTCTGTGAAGGTGTGAATGATAACATTAGTCCTTAGGATGTGGCAAATCCAGTTGCATAAAAAGCCCACAATCCACATTTACTCAGTTTGATTTAAATACTATCTCAATTTACTGAAATAACAGCTTGAAATGAAGCTATACTTAACTTAGACTCTCTTGGACAGACAATCTTCTCAGATATAGCCTTTGTATAAATTATTTATATTCTCTAACAAGTAGTTATTTTAATTTACCCTAATGGATATTTAGGTGTATATTTAAATATACACTCATGGTTCATTGCTGCCGCTTCATATTGTAACTGTAACTGTCTAGGAACTTGATGTGCCAATTCAGTTATGTACATATTCATTATAAGGTATTAACTTACACCAATGAGATAAAAAATTTCAGATCCTAATAATCGATAGTTGTTGTGATGATCCAATCAACTTGCTTGCATTTCACACATCCATGAAATCATAGTTTGTGTATGCAGAGTGATCCTCCCTCCCTCCCTTCCTTCTTTCCTTCCTTCCTTCCTTTTTCATTGCAGCATAACAAGGACCTATTTTAATAATGTTGATTTATCTAGTGAGTCTTTAACAGAATTTAGACTAATTACACATTTGATTTTTTGAACAGATTATTGGACATCCTCAGTATGCTGTGGATATTGGAACCCATATACCTGCATTGCCAGTGCAGGCTTCTGCCATTATATCACCACCATTGCAATTGCAGCCTGAAACAATGCTGCCCTGTATTGCTTCAGATGGACTTTCACAAAGCAGTCTTGGCACAACTAATTCAGCAATGCTGGCAGATCACGGACTGCCCCTTCAGGGTTCTGCTTACCTGCAATCCCAGTCAGACAGTCACCAGCTTCCTGGCCAGCAGATTCAAACTACGTGTCCAGCTGCCCCACTAGCTTCAGAACCTCCTCAAGAGGTGGTATGTGTTTTCAATATATAACAAAAATCATTAATCAAGTTAAAAGAGCTGTTTCCAACTTCAAGGGTACATCCTCCAAACTCACTTTATTTTCTGTTTACTTCACTATCTCCGAACTTGAGTACTTTGAAATCACTCAATTTCTTCATTTATATATTTGTTTTCTTTCCACATCTTTTCTTGCCCTTTTGTTTATTTAGCGTTTCAGTTTTACCAGATAGCAATAATACATGCACTGCAGTATATGGACACTCGTGAGAGCCAGTTTGGTCTAGTGAGAGACTATAAATTCTAGTCCTGACTTAGGCATGAAAGCTGGCTGGGTGACTTTGGGCCAGTCACTCAAGTCCACAATGTCAGGCTTGACCAAAAAGCTGGTCAGTCAATTCCTGTTGCAACCAATGTATCAGTACTCAATTGATCAAAAGAAAAGTGGTCCCTGCACTTGCAAAAAAAAAATGCTAGGAAGAAAAAGAAAACATGGACATTTATACTTATGAAAAGGCCTGAGATTTTGTTAGACTTTAGATAAAACCTGATTCTCCAGATATCGCCACCTAACATTTTGTACCAGGGGCAGTACATGATAATTTTCATTGGGAAAATAACTCCAGGGTTAATGTATCTAGTAGTTTGCTCAGAAAAATTCTGCTGCAAAAGTTAATTTGGGCTGTTGGCCAATACTTAATTCTAAACCATTCAAATCTAGTGCTCAAACTGGCTCGATTTGTTTATAAAGTGAAAAAGACTACACACTGATATCAATCTTCAAAATGTAACAGATTTTGTTTAATTATTTCTTCTTTACAATGTAGGAGCAAGCAATACTAGAGAAACAGCAGTCATTGTCACAGAGCTGCGAAAGGTACCTTTTCTATTTGTCTATAACCTGGCATAAAGTTGTCAAACCACTTGCAAAATTACATCAATATTTAGTAAAAGAGTAAAGAATCTTAAGTAATTTCTAAAACGCATACTCATTTTGTGATGTTAATTATATCTCTTTTCTTTTAAGCTCAGGTGATGGTGATGGATAGATTTTTTTTTCCCCCAGAATCTATTTAGCCAGGCCCTTCAGGTCTTTCAACATAAACCCATCACTGTTATTGCGATCAAGTCAGCCAATTTTGCTGATGGTCTTCTTTTTTTCTTTTTGTCTATCTTTTCAATAATTATAGATCTTAGTGAACCTTTGTTGTTATTATTGTTCTCGGCCTTACTTCATCAAGAATTAATATTTTGAGAACAAATACCACAATGGATATTATTGTCCCTTCTGCTTTCAACCATCATCTCTTTCTTTTCCTCTTCTCCCCTTACAATACTCTACTCCATTCCATCATAAAAATATTAGGCTGATGGATACCTAAAATTAGACTGAAGGGTATACAGTATATGACTATAAGACTGAATACTGTCATTTCCTCTTCAAATTAAGAATATTATGCATTGCATAATTAGCATCCTTCATGGCTGCATATTCTTTTTTGCATGGGAAACAAGAAATAGCAGAGGAGCTGTTTTTCAGACAGCCTGGAAGCCTTCTACAAATTCCAACACCATTTCTAAAAGAATGTGTTGGGGCACAGAGAGAGTCATAGAAGAAAGGAAGAATCTATAAACATGTATTTCCCCATTCTGCCAGTTGAATTTCTCAGCTAGCTCAAAAGTCTCTTGTGGAAGGAACAGACTTTCTTTCTATGAAAGATTCTAGACACAACTGAGTGGGTGAAACTTGGTAGAAACTTTAGGAGAAACATTACAATTTAAGGAAGAGCTTCCCATTGATGGAGCCAGGTGGTGGAAACAGAGACTGGGGCCAACCTGTTAAGAGCATTGAAACTATATTTTGCACAGTAGTTACTTCAAACAACAAAGGGATGGGCTACGACAGGGGTCTTCAAACTTGGCCCTTTTATGACTTGTGGACTTCAACTCCCAGCTGGCTGAGGAATTCTGGAAGTTGAAGTCCACAAGTCATAAAAGGGCCAAATTTCAAGATCCCTCGGCTACAACATCTCCACTCATTATTTTTTTAGAACACTTTTATGAAAGTGATATTTCAGATAGAGAGAAATCATTATTTCCTTTTCTACAGATCTTGAATGCTGAGAAATTGAATCAGTTTCTTTTAGATTCTTAACATTAGAGGTTTCCATAGAAGTTTGATTAAATTTGTGCCCATTACATTTTACTTTATTTTATGTATGTTACTTTACAAAATCCATTATTCCCAGAGTCTTAAATGCATGGAGTAAAATTATATAGATCAATCTTTGCTGATTAATGTCTGATTAGTTTGTGTTCTTTGTGGACTTTTTAAGTAAGTCTGTATGCTAATAATTTTTTGTCTTTTTAAAAAATTCCTGCTTTGTCATCTTGCCACAAAGTTATATGAGTCCTGATGTTGCTTCTGGTAAAGAGATGAGTGACAGTTTTGAAGGAATAAGTGGAGGTGGGAAACAAGAAGGAAAACCTTCAAAGAAACATAAAAAATCAGCACGTGCTCGTTCACGCCAGGAAAAATCCAATAGGCCCAAGCTTACCATTTTAAATGTAAGATTACCTCCTTTGCTTAGTTTTTAACCTATCTATTTTATTGGGCGAGATATAATGATTGGCTCTTTTTACAGGTATGCAATACAGGGGATAAGATGGTGGAATGCCAACTAGAAACACACAATCACAAGATGGTCACTTTTAAATTTGATTTAGATGGTGACGCTCCAGAGGAAATTGCTACATATATGGTAGGTTTAAGAATATTAAAATAATATTGACACTTCAGTTTCATAAACTGCACAGATGACAGTACTATTTGTATAGTTACAAAAAATATTTCCAGTGTTTTGGAAATTAGCTGATTGAAATAAAATTAATTTCTGACTAATACCCCTGTTAGTCTATACAAAGGGGAATTAGTTTAGAATAGTTGTTACTTTAACAAACAATAAGTGAACCACTACTTCTTTTTAATCTTTGTTATTTGGAACATTTGCTGTGCAATTGTAGTCTTCAGATTTATTGGTAACAATGTGTTGTGTCAATTAATTGGCTCTAGTAAGATCAAAACAATTGAATCACCTTCATGATTCAAGAATGTTCTGTGAATGCCTCCTATATACTGAATCAGTTATTTACTGTTCAATTGAACTAAGCACAAATTTTGTTTTCTGCAGATAAAAATTCATATTATGGGTTTTTTTAAAAAAATAAATAAGCAATCAGGTAAAAGGGCTGGAGAACAAACACAGAAAAATGGCAGGTTTAAAAAAATATATTTTTGGTGTATTCATATAGGTTGAAAATGAATTTATACTACCAACTGAGAAAGAGATATTTATTGAGCAACTGAAAGAAATCATTGACAAAGCAGAAGATATGCTTAGTGAAGATACTGAAGGAGAACGAAGTTCTGATCAAGGTGTGAGCCCTCAGCAAGATATTTACAAGCTGGAAATCAATGAGGTATTTTTTTTTTTTAAAAAAAGAATAAAATAAATATAACATTTAATGTTTCAGCTACTAAATGTTTCAAACAATAAACATTTCAAACAATAAATATTTAACATAACTTATTTATCTCCTCCAGAAGTTATGGATTACAACTCCCATCATCCATAGTGAAAGATACCATGCCTGTTTGGGATGGATTAGAATGATGGGATTTGTGGTCCAACACATTACTTCTACTAGCTAGCATGCAAAGAAGTATTTAATTATTTTTATGCTACAATATTGTTTTTTTGGTGATGAATTTGAGCAGATTCCAAATGGAAGTACTTTGAAATGCTTTAGTAACACCCTTCTTTTATTTTAAATAGGAGAATCGCCAATCCCATGCAAGAATGCCCATCTACCAACAGAATGGTAAAAGTATTTCTTTGAATATGCATGTATATCACCCAACACTGTAAGGCAGTATATCCCAACCTCAACAACTTTAAAATGTGTGGACTTCAACTCCACAAATTTTCCCAGACAGGAAGTAAATTTCACACATCTTAAAGTTGTTGAAATTGAGAAACACTGCTGTAAGTTAATACTTAATTATAGTAATGACATATTTCAAGATTGTGTCAAAGTCACCCAGCCGGTAGTAATTGCACTGAACACACTGATTTTCTGTGGCACTGCATTTCTTTAAAGATGCTTTTTCATTGTTCTATGCCAATTGCTGTGATGAGAACTTTGGCAGAAAATAAAATGTGAAACTTAATTTGGATAAGTCTGAGAATAGCTTTATATTTATCTCTCATACTGGATTTCAAGTGTTAATCTCCCAGACTGAACTTCAGTCATTAATCTTCATTTGTTGTATTAACATTTGTTGTATTATTTTTAAATGTGGTATCACATTATATTACGTTATAGTATAGTATGCAATAGTGGACTTTTTGCTAATTGTGGGTACAAATGTTTCTTCATTTTAATATTTTCTGTCTTTAGTTCTACATACTGGGAAACGTTGGTTTATCATTTGTCCCGTTGTGGAAAATCAAGCTGCTGAAGTGCCCGAATTCTCTTCTCATCCTCCTCAAAGTACAAAGCAGTCTGAAGCCCCAGGTATCAGTGAGGTTTTAATCTTTAAAAAACAATTTTCAAGCTATTTTCATGGGGAATAAAACAAGGAAAAATATGTATAGGACTATTTACTGATTTATGCAAGTATGCATACATGCTTCATTTTTCTTCTCAAGTGGATACTCATACAATTCTGGTCTCAATCACCATTGTAAGTTGAGGACTACCTGTATGGCTAACTGCGATTAATATGCAATGTATGAATATATATATATATATACATTATAGTCAAAGCTGAAATTAATCAACAATTAAAAGTCTCATGAAAAAGATGTTACAGAAAGATTAAATGTGATGCCTGGGACATTTGCAGATAAAGGACCTCTCCTAAATGCCTTGGAAAGGAAATTTCCTTCTTCAGAAAACTCTGCACAACTCATAATGGGAGAGAGAGTTCTTCAGATAATAAAATTTTGAAATTTTAGGATTTTAGAGATTAACACAATTGCACATAGTATGCTCAACATTCATATTTGTACTAGTGCAAGGATGAGGAGATCCCAAGTTAACAAGCTATCCGCCACTTTTTATACCTTTACAGTGTTTCAAGGGCAGCTTCACATGAAGTATACTGCACGGGTAGAAACAGGATTTAACCAGTGGTGGGATTCAAATATGTGAACAACCGGTTCTCTGTGGATGCTGCTTCTGGAAGTCCATTCTGGGCCTGGGCAACAAAAAATTAGCTACCGGTTCTGCTGAACTGGTGCAAACTGGCTGAATCCCACCACTGGATATAACTGAAATGTGAGTCTGGCTCAGAAAGGATTGCAGCTGGTGCACCAGCTGCAATTACACGACCACTCTTTTGGCTACAGTTACTACGTATGAGTCATATTGTCAAAATGAAGATAATATGTTTTCAGGATGAATGCAGCTCCACACAAAAACAAGTTAAATGCAGTTCCCAAGCATAAGAGTTCTTAAACTATGGGTTGAGCAAAAAGTATGTGCACACAAAATTTAACTGCTATCAGAAATTGCTTCCACTCTACCTAAACAAATCAATATCTGGCTGGTCCAAGCAACTCTATAGCAAGTTCTAGCAGAGCTCCTTTAAAAAAATATCATTATATTGCCACTTAAAGTTCCATTTATTTTTGCAATGATCAGTGCACCATCAAAATAGAAGATCAGGTTGGGAAATAAGATCAGCATGCTAAGATCAGATGCAGAGCAGATGAAAGAAAAGAAGTTGAGGAACAAGATGACCAAAGAATGCCTGATCAGTTCCAATAGTAATAGGTGCCTTGAGTGCAATTCCAAAATATCTGGAGCATCACTTGAACACAATCAGCATTGACAAAACCACCAACAGTCAATTGCAAAAGGCAATTTTTTTAGAATAGCCTACATCCTGCAACAATACCATTAATATTATTATATAACATCTGCCTTCCTCAGGTCTTTGGGAAGGATTTGATAAGTGGACAAAAATGTCAAATCCAGTCTAAACATCTGTCTTATTGTGTGACCAACCATAATATATGGGGAAGCAAGATGGACTGTAAACAAATTTAATACACAGACAACACAAATAAATAAATAAAACAACCGAAGATAGCTAGTACAAATTTAATAAATATATAAAAAATATAACTGAAGATAGCTAGTACAAACACAGAAGTATTGAGAACAAAATTAATCTTTGAAAATTTATATCCCAAATCCTCTAGTTTAGAAAATACTTAAAAAAAATACAAGAACACATAACCACATTCCATTAGCTATCAAAGCAATAATGTCATCCTATGTTATGTAATTTATGGGAAAGTCCATTGTATATTCATGAGAAAATGCGAGTAAAAAAGGGCAAATAGATACTATGTTTATTATGAAATTAATTTTTATTTTGTGGACCCCTTGAAAGGGTGTCAAAGATTCCCAATAGTCTGGAGACCACACTTTGAGAACTGCTGTTTTACAATAAAATATTTATTTCAATCATTTACTTGCTGTGAAGATGGAAATAGTTGGCAGAATCACAGTGTCATAACCTATCTACAAAGCGTACACATTTATGGACATTGCCCTGAACTGGTTTTGTTTTAGACGTGCAGATGTAATTGAAGTTCTTGTCATATAAATTACTTTTAAGTGTTATGTAATACACTGAATGCCTTGATATTAATTTTGATTTTCCAGTTGGTTAAAATGGGACAGTGCATCATTATGGTTAATACCCAATACAGTGCAATAGAGTTGTATTAGAAAAATCACTAGGATGAGCTGTCATACTCTGTGCAATTAAGCATGTATAATTGTTTCATCTAAAATAATTTAGCTGGGAAAATATTTCATCTTTCTTAATTCTTTGGAAAAAGTCTAGTGCTCAATAGTTGTTGAAGTCTTTATAAGTATTTAGATTTTACAAAGTCATTTTCTGAATTCAGAAACTTCCTTTTGCTTTTGTTGTTTATAGGCCTAGAGCTGTTGGATGATCAGCAACAGAGCTCTGCAGTGACAGAAAAACAAACAAACATATCTTATCAACATCTTTCTAATCAACTTAACTCCAATGAATGTCCCAGGGGAACTCCTCCTCCTTCTCCTTTAACACAAGTTTCTGTTCCCTCTTCATTAACTTCCCTTTCTCAGGTCCATCCAGAAACATTCACCGCAATTCCTCCAATGTTAGCTTCAACCACACTAGAAAAAGTTGCTGAAAGTACAGGTCAGCTACAATGCCCTTTGCTACAACCAGACTTAGCCAGTCAGTGTGACACTCTTGCCCATAGTACAGCTACATCTGAAGAACATTTTGAGGATAAGGTCCTTCTAAATGCCTCACAGCACACACTACAAAAGATAGATGAGAAAAATTGTTTTCCCAATACAGAACATGAACACAGCACAGCTGGACTGCCAAAACCATTTCAGTCTGTTCCTGTGCAGACAACAGAAAGTTCTTTCCCTATCATCTCTGATGCTCCCATTTTGGAACTTGAGTCTTCAACCCAAATCCCCAGTTTGTCAGACAACACTCAGCTTGGCCAGATATCACATTCTTTTGTAGATCAGACACCTCCCATGTCCACTGTCTCTGAACCTCCAGTTTTAGCAACATCTCAACTTTCAAGTCCTCCTCACCTCTCAACAGCTGTATCCCAGTTGCATATGCCAACCCAGTCCCAGCCGGTTGCATCCACTGGCTCTGCCATGACTGCACCCCAACCACCTTGTTTGGTAGAATCAGATGGCGAAGGACCACCAAGAGTTGATTTCACTGACAACACAATAAAAAGTTTGGATGAGAAACTTCGCAACCTGCTGTATCAAGAGTATATTCCAACATCATCTGCTTCAGCAGCAACACCAGACCAAGTGGATGGTGAATTTAATCTGGCATCTTTGCCTGCACTTGTGTTAGATTTGAAAATTCCTGGAGCTAAAGATCAACCCTCTCCAATTCTGGCAAGTCAAACCATTCATTTAGAAGTCATACAGATGCCTATTAAAACTGCTGTAGTTCTAATAGATATTTTCAAAATTGGTCCTATTGCTGACTTCTAAGGCAAAGTTATAATTGTTACCTATAACATTTAGTCATATCCTTTGTATTTAAGTACTGAGGTACTCAAAAAAACAAAATGTAACTCTTCTATGTTTCCAATACTGTATTGAAAAAAGAAATCAGATGCCCATTACTAAAATTCATCACATCATAATAATATCTTGTTTACATTGACACTTCTTTGAACTTGGGGTTATTGAATCAATTTTAATATCTTAAACTAAAAGATGATTAAGGGCACCATTTCAAAATAGACAAATAAGGGTGAATTAGGACTCATCGCCTTATTTTATTGGCCTGAGTAGAAAATATCTATCATAGCAGAATTTCCATTTTTATTTAAAGTTGGTCTTTTCTCACTTTGGCCTTTATTAATGTTTTACAAGATATGATGTGGATGGAGACCAATCATATTGTGTCACATTTAGTAGCCAAATACAATATGTGATTTTTAACACTGGATTCCAAAATACACTTGATAAAGATGTCCTTCATGAATAAAAAGCATAAACTTGCTAGAATTTATACCAGTTGAAATGAAAGAATATAACTTTCTTTCTCTCCCAATATTATAATTCCAAATTGCATCAATTCATTCATCTCTATTGTATTGACAGAAAGTCTAGGTAACAACATTTCATCAGTACTCAAGAAAAGGTATAAGCACTGTAAAGAACACCATCTTCAATTAATTTATTTTAAGTACATTGGTCTCAGAATCTCTTAATTCAATGAATGGATGTATGTCAAAATTCATAAATATTTGACACGAGAATACTCCACGTTCTGAGTCTTCAGGCAATAAAGAGAGTCTATTCCCTGGAATTGCTCAAGGAACCAGAAGATTTCCCAGTGGTTAGATTACTTATTAAACATCTGGCCCACAGAATTGATTCAAAAAGAAACATGCCTTACAAATGCTTTTTGTATTTTCTGCACTTCATTAAAAAACAATAAATTCTTAATAAAGGAAGTGCTTGAGAATGGAAACTATTCAATCCAATCCTTGCAATTCTGTACTAGGGATACATGCAGATGCACCCACATATACAAACATTCACATATTTTGTTGGATCTTTCAAACATATCTCTGTTATTCTATCTATCCCTTTTTCTAATTGTTCTTAAGTTCAGATGCTGGAATTCCTGGCATACTTTTTGACTGTTTTCAGATTCATGTTAGTATTCAGAATAAGTTCCAATATTCTACTGTTGTAACTTCTTACAATTTCTTACATGTTTGCACTAACATGTGTATCTAGGGTATCTTACATGATTATGTGATTCATCTCATGATCTCAGTATTTGAGATTATATGCTTTCTTTGTGACCTGTAGAGCCCTAGGATTCAAGTTAATTTAAAAAATCTACAGCTTCTTTCCTAATAGCTGGTACATCTATATAACATATACAAATATGGTTGTTGTTGTTGTTGTTAGTTGCGAAGTCATGTCTGACCCATCGCAACCCCATGGACAACATTCCTCCAGGCCTTCCTCCAGGGGTCACGATGAGTCGGACATGACTTCGCAACTAACAATAACAAATACGATAAGCATCACTATTTAAGAAAGGAAGAAAAAAAATCATACATTTTCATGGCTAGATTCCTAGAAATCATATGGAAGCATATGAATTGAAATATGTGTGCATATATCTGTACATACAAGTTCGATGTACAATCATTTTTCACAATTAGTTTTGCCATCTATATTTCTTGAATGTAATAATTTGTCCACCATTGGACAATTCTCTAATCTCTGAATAAGATTATTACCCAAATTGTGGCATGGGCTTACTGCTCTCTCCCTGTAATTCTGGTCTCAGTCTGGTTTGTCTTTGAAAATATATCTGTTTTAAAAAAAAGTAGCTGTCCATGAATAAACCGTGTAAAACGCATTTGATTTCATCCTTAATAAAACCAAATCAGACATGTTTCATTATTTCTTTCTAGAACCAACTGTGATAAAAATTAAGCTATTACCAAGTAGAATTTAGGTTCTTCTTTAAACAGTTGCTTATGCCTGTCATTAATTTCAAAAACCAAATCCAACCTTTATTCTATTAGTTTATTCTATTATTATGTTAACTTCTCAAAACTTCTCAGTTCTTCTGATAAGATACTTCCTGTTAGTATTTGTTAGGTGTTCCTATCTGTCAGTGTTCTGCTATGGTTGTGAAGAAAAAAGTTCCTTTCCAGAAAAGAACTTCAACATTACCTTCCAGTCCAAAAATGAGACTATTTTGAACACATGCTGGTCCAAATGGAGAAGTTCTTTAGATATGAATGTATTGCTGAACATTTTGAATAATTTAACGGCCCAGCTAGTGTAATTCATACTTACGATCATTTTCAACATGTGCATAGAAAATTCAAACAAGAAGGGAAAGGAACTTATCTGAACATTTGGCAAACTGAAATTCTTTAACCAAGTTGGAACAGCACAGACCTGGTAAAGAGTAATATAGGTAGTCCTTGACTTTCAACCACAATTGAGCCCAAAATTTCTGTTGCTGAGTGAGACATTTGTTAAGGTAGTGTTGCCCCATTTTACGACATTTCTTGCCACAGTTGTTAAGTGAATCACTGCAGTTCTTAAGTTAGTAACAGAGTTGTTAAGTGAATCTGGTTTTCCTATTGACCTGACTTGTCAGAAAGTCACAAAAGGTAATCACATTGCAACCGTCATAAATACGGATCAGTTGCAAAGTGTCTGAATTTTGATCACCTGATCATGGGAGATGAATCAAAGGTTTTAAGTGTAAAAGCAGTAGGTTATAAGTCATTTTTTCCCAATACCTTTGTAATTTTGAATGGCCACTAAATGGACTGTTGTAAGTCAAGGACTCCCAATATGACTTAGACATCTCAAACATAAAACTTTTTTCTCAAATATATATTGGAGATATGTCAAAGAGGAAATCATTATTATGTAAATTAATCCTAGCGCCAAAGTAAATTACACATAAAAATATGTATGTGTGATCACGTGTATATTTTTTTTATTATGTTTGTAGTTTTTTTTTTGTATACTGCCAAGCGCTATATGGTTGTGGCGCTTTAGAAATCAAATAAATGAACTACTTCCTGTTTTCCCTGATTTTAATGTAACCACGTGGTACAGTATGAGCTAGGAACATGTGAAAGAAGTCCACCCCTAAAATAAGAAAAGGGAAGATTGACTCCGTTTCTTTTGCATAATGTCCCTCTTCTAGAAGACTACTCTGCAGTACTTTGAAGTCAGAGTAATAAAAACAGGAAGAGGGACAGCATAATAACAGATTTTACATATCATTTAGATTGAGAAAAAAATTGTGATATAATATGAATTCTATCAGACAACAGAAATTTATATGAAATATTTAGCATATTAAATATTAACCATGTGGTGTCAGAAGGGTATGAAGCCTCCAAATCGTGAAATGCAAATCAGTGACTTAAGAGTGATTTGCTTTAAGATGAAATATAAAAATAATTTTAGAGTTTATATATTTCTATACAGATTAAAACCTTGAAAGATTAATTTAAATTGTTATACTTTGTTTTACAGGAAAAATCCGAAGTTATTTGCACCGGGATTCAGCATTCTGAAATAAACAAACTATTATCAAGCAAAGCAGGTAGTAGAGCATAACTGTAATGTCCATTGTTCTTTCTAAATATCCATATGAACAACTAATATGTGGTAGTTATTAGATATACGGTAATTATTAAGAAAACTAGGAATTAGTGAATGTGTATATCACAATAGCAATGCAGAATGTAGTAATTTCAAAATAAAATTTAATGTGTGATTCTCATGAAAATTTATAGAAATCTATTGTGATGATTTTAATATATGAAATATGTTAAATATGAATTCTATATAAGTAATGATTTTACTTTTAGTGGGGAAGCCAAACCATATAAATTATATGCAGATGGTTTTAAACAACATGCTCTATCTTTTGCATATTGTATACATGCATTATTCAAGTAATTTTTTCCAGAAAAATCCAATGGGCAAATTAGGAAACCATGATTTTGTTCCCTATCGTATACGTGGAAAGCGGGGGGACATTTTTTTCTGAACTGATTTTAAGTAGAAAAAATTGAAATGTCACTGTTTTTAATTATGAAGATCACGTATCATTTTTCTATGATGCATATTTGAACATTATGATGCATATTTGAACATTACTGAATAATGATTGTAAGAAACAAATATCCTATTTTTCTTTAAGTCTTCTTAATAGATTATATTAGACATTTCATAGAATGCTCATCTCATTGAAATTATAATCTTAAGTCATTGTGATATCACGCGTTGGATCTACCACTACGATTTATGTTTAATTCATATATAGCTGACCTATAGTCTTGAATACAACAGTGAAACTAGAGTTATGGCCTTTGAGGATTTTTTAAATAAGAATTTTTCATATTTAACGTTTATTTTGCACTAAAATTTGCCAATCCAGATATATGCATGTTTTCCTTTTGTTTGTTTGTTTCCAATATATTAAACAGGTCAAGATGCAAATGTCAGTTCACCTACTACTATCCTAACATCAGGATACACTCAGGTACTGTGATCTTGTATTGTTTTTTCCCTACATCTTATCCCATTCCTCAGACAATTGCAGCTAACAAAGGGTACTGTTAATTTCTATAAAAATAAAGTTTAAAGGCAGGTAACATGTTAACCAACTAAGCCTTTCTTTCATTTGTTATTTCAGGTTGTTTCTTCTTCACTTACAGCAGACCAGAAGGACATTGCTTACAGGAATGAAAAGGAAAATGTCAATGTATTACTTGAAAAGAAATCTCAAAAAGATGGTTCTATAGACTCCGATGTTAATGTCAAAGAAGCTGAAACACCAGCAAAAACTATAGGCAGATTTTCAGTGATCAGCACTCAAGATGAATTAACTTTATCATCTGTGCATTCCCTGAGGTATTCTGCACCCCCAGATGTTTATCTGGACCATCAGCCTTCTAGCCCTGATACAAAGTCACCTCTACGTCGCGTGCAGACAGCTTCCTCTTTTGATGTTCTTTATGGAAAGGATTCTAGTGATTCTGGAGATGAATCTCTCCTAGGAAAACAAGATGCATCTCCATTGTCACCTCAGAGCAGTAGACTGGGAAATGACAACATTAAAAAGACTTCATGTATTCTGCAAAAGTCAGCAAAGTCAAGTTCACAGGGCCTTAATTCTCCAAATGGATCAAAAATCCCAACTATCAACATAACTTCTTTCCATTCTCAGTCATCGTACGTGAGTAGTGACAATGACTCAGAGTTTGAAGATGCAGACATGAAAAAAGAATTGCAGAACCTGAGAGAAAAGTATGTTTCCATTTTATCCAAACAGAGGGTCTTTAGTGCATATGTGCTTGAGCAGCTTATACAGATACACTTTGACATCTTTTATCATCTGTTCCTTTCTTTTAAAAGCAAATTGTTTTATGTATTTGATGTATAGTATTCTTTCTATGTTTTTGTTCTCATTTTGTTGATAAAAGCAACATTCTGCAGTAAAGAAAAATTGGACATCATGTATTACAAGACAAAAGTGGTTTTATCCACCAAGAGGCATTTTAATTGCCTTCAGAACTGCAAAATAAATGGTATTCACATCGAGCAAGGACATCATATACTTAGGAATCTTTTTTTCAATCATTTACCCCTTGGAAGAATTAAATAAAAGATAGTACTGCTTGAAAATACTTTCAGCAATATAATTTGGTTTGCTAATTGAAATGGCAATAATTTTGTCCCAGATACAGTAAAATTATTTATGACAAATGTATGCTTTGTCTATAGAAGACATGTGAGCTCTTGAGGCAATCCATTCTAAATTGTTAAGAGTAATGTCTTGCGTCTCCTATTGTCTTGGTCCTCTGTGGCTGGAAATTAATCTTGCCTCCACTAAGGCTTATTTGAGAATTTGTTGATTAAAGTATTGGTAAACTAGTCTCAGTGAAAGAGTCTTTGGACTAGATAATTCCTAGGCCTTTTGTTTTTATTCATTTATTATTAAATTTATACACTGCCCATCTCACTGTCCCGTCTGGAAGAAATGTATGGTCTCGGATTTAAATTATTGTGGCTTCTCCATCTAAGTCTAGATGATGATGCATCTTGAGAGAACCACATATAGACAGAACAGGGACCTTGATTTACAGAGAGAGATATGAGTAAATCTCCATATTATTGCAATGCCAACCTCTATATTGAACTTTTATTTTGTTCAGTTACTTTTCCAACACCTTTTTCATCTCACATCATCTGTTCTGTTGCACTAACCTATGCATCGCCAATTGTATTTTGAAGAAATAACATCCTTATTAATTAAAATTATGGATTGGCTTGAAAGATGAATGCTTTCTTACTGTGAACAATTTTGTCCATAAACAATTTATAGATATTTGTTACATACGTATCTTTATATGATTGCATAAGATTCTAGGCTTTACAGAGAAAATATCTGCAGATTCTTTTTCTGCTGTTTCTACATGTTGTTATGCATTAATTTCTTGATTTTCTTTTTTTTTCTTACTATGTTAATCTCCTGTTTTGTTTTGTTTTTGATTATGTATCACTTGGTTGGTGTGATCTCTTACCAACAGCATAGATAGAGCTTTGCGATGGCCTGTCTTCAATCTGGCCCCTAAAAATCTTATAAAACTGCTACTGTTACAATTGAATCCATCCACCATGCTGTTGATTGTTCTCTTTCTTTCCATCTTTCCCAGCATTATGGACTTCTCAAGACAGCTAAGTCTTTCCATAATGTGCCTTGAATGAGACTCTGTATTGATTTGTGTTATAATCTGTTGGATTGTTTTTTCACCCACATTCTTAGATGTCTTCTCCAACACCAAAATTGAAAAGTACTCTTTCTGTCTTGTTCTTCAAAATCCAATTTTTTTGTTTCCACAGTGTCACAAGGAAAATTATTGCCTCCATCATTCTGAATGTTGTGGGTACAGGCATATCATGACATCCAAGTATCTTTTGCAAGGCCTTCATTAATACCCTGCCAACTGCCAATCTATGGCATATTTATAACAACAACAGACTCAGGCTCAACCCTTCCAAGACCGAGTGGCTGTGGTTTCCGGCGCCTCGGCATAGTCAGCTGATGCCATCGCTGACTATAGGGGGCGAAACTTTGGCCCCCTCAGAGAGGGCGCGCAACTTGGGAGTCCTCCTGGATTCACGGCTGACCTTGGATGACCATCTGTCGGCCGTGACCAGGGGGGCGTTTTATC